ATTCGGCGCGTAGTAATTCCACGCGTGGTAATTCCGCGCGTGGTAATTCCACGCTTGGTAGTTCTACGCGTGAGAATTCCACGCGTGGTAATTCGGCGCGTAGTAATTCCACGCGTGGGAATTCCACGCGTGGTAATTCGGCGCGTAGTAATTCCACGCGTAGTAATTCGGCGCGTGGTAATTCGACGCGTGGTAATTCCACGCATGGTATTTCTACGCATGGTAATTCAATGCGTGGTAATTCCACGCGTGGTAATTCGGCGCATGGTAATTCCACGCGTGGTAATTCCACGCTTGGTATTTCTACGCGTGGTAATTCAATGCGTGGTAATTCCACGCGTGGTAATTCTGCGCGTAGTAGTTCCATGCTTGGTATTTCTACGCGTGGTAATTCAATGCGTGGTAATTCCACGCGTGGTAATTCCGCGCGTGGTAATTCAATGCGTGGTAATTCCACGCTTGGTATTTCTACGCGTGGTAATTCAATGCGTGGTAATTCCACGCGTTGTAATTTGGCGCGTGGTAATTCCACGCTTGGTATTTCAACGCTAAGTAATTCAATGCGTGGTATTTCAACGCGTGGTAATTCAGCGCGTGGTAATTCAACGCGTGGTAATTCGACGCGTGGCGATTAATTCCACGCGTGGTAATTCGGCGCGTAGTAATTCCACGCGTAGTAATTCCGCGCGTGGTAATTCAACGCGTGGTAATTCCACGCTTGGTACTTGATCGACTAGTAAATAGGGAAAATTCTGAAACATAGAAATAGAGGTAGTATGTTTCTGAATGGAAGAACACGTTACACTGTCGGAGAATAGGAACGAGTTATTCGACGAAACCTCGTGTCCTGTGGCGATCGTAAATCACGAGCAGCGATCTTGCATCGAACGTCGAGGATTAATAATCGCGCGCAGAAAGGCAAGAGCAAGGGAAGAGGGACGCGAACGCGTCTAATATCGTGCATGTGTGACGTTTCAGCTGGTGCCCAGGCTGGATGAATAAACGTCTTCCTTATCGTCTAAAATAGACTTTAAACTTCAAGCATATCTGGAGCTCAGCCAGGTCGTAGGAAAATACAATGATATTAGGCCCGTTGAATTGTTACACCGCAGCCAGAGGTGTGCCGATAATCTATTCACAAGTAGCCAATAGTAGACCATACTTGTACCCTACGAATACTAACCTAACCCTTAAAAGTTAAAAAGAGGTTGATCATTATGAAATTTTTAACTTTTTTTATGATCACTGTTGTGACTGAGATTTTTTAACAAGATAGACTAAGAGAGCCTAAATGAATGCAAAGGATAATCTTATTTTTTTCAATCTAATTGTAATTTAATGATCGAGTTCCTTCTACCACGTGTTCATATTATGCAACCTAGTAATTGGTACGGTAACGAAACAATAACGTCTTATGATTTTTTTCACGCGCATTCAATGCAAATCGAACAATGCGGCGAATCCACTACAGACCATTGTTACGGTAGCTGATGTGGTTATCAGGGACGCGAAAAAATATCGTGAGCATTGCCGATGAGATTAATGCAAGGAATTTTCATAAACACAGGATTGAAACTAGTTCCGCAATATCTGCGTTGCATAAGGTGGAATCGGAAGTCTTGCACAAATAAATTATGATTTTAATTTCTTATATGTCCTTATGAAATTATTGTAAAATTTGGATCTACTTTGGGTCTCTTTATAATTATCACATTTTTAAAACAGACGTCTCAGACAGTAAAACTTTAATTAGTAGTTAGTACCTTGCGTAAGCGTTAATTATCTATACTGATATGCACCCGACTATACATCGCTTTTACTACGGCAGGAAAAGCTATAAACTCGTAACTGTCACCGGAACTTCTATTTCTAATTATAAGATCAACTGGTTATGTGAAAATTACACCTTTGCAATTTCATAAATTATTAATTTGTTATTCCATTTGATGTGGTCTTTAAACGGTCTTACAGTTAATAGGTTAATTATCGTGGAAGCAGTGGGAGCAAAATATCGTACCGTGTGGCGATATACCGTAGCTTAATACTCGGAGGTACCATGCGTGGTAATTCAACGCTTGGTACTTCAACGCGTAGTAATTCAACGCTTGGTATTTCTACGCGTGGTGATTCAACGCTTGGTAATTCCACGCATGGTATTTCAACGCGTGGTAATTCCACGCGTGGTAATTCCACGCTTGGTATTCCAACGCGTGGTAATTCCACGCTTGGTATTCCAGCGCGTAGTAATTCCACGCTTGGTATTCCAGCGCGTAGTAATTCCACGCTTGGTATTTCAGCGCGTAATAATTCGACGCGTGGTAATTCAATGCGTGGTAATTCCACGCTTGGTATTTCCACGCGTGGTAATTCTACGCTTGGTATTTCAACGCGTGCTAACTCCACGCGTGGTAATTCCACGCTTGGTATTCCAGCGCGTAGTAATTCCACGCTTGGTATTCCAGCGCGTAGTAATTCAACGCGTGGTAATTCAATGCGTGGTAATTCCACGCGTGGTATTTCAATGCGTGCTAATTCCACGCTTGGTACTTCAACGCGTGGTAATTCCACGCTTGGTAATTCCACGCTTGGTATTCCAGCGCGTGGTAATTCCACGCTTGGTATTCTAGCGCGTAGTAATTCAACGCGTGGTAATTCAATGCTTGGTAATTCCACGCGTGGTATTTCAACGCGAGGTAATTTGACGTTTGGTATTCCAGCGCGTAGTAATTCAACGCGTGGTAATTCAATGCGTTTTAATTCCACGCGTAGTAATTGATCACGCAATAATTCGATACAACGCGTAGTAGTCTACCTTACGTAAAGATGGCAATATAACGAGATCCTAACTAATATGCCCACCCGATTAATTTCCTGTTAATGTAACCGATGTAAATTCAGTGTCACTAACAACAGCCAACGCGTTAATGGCAAGCATAAATCAGAAAGAGTAACCCATATTACCAAGGTCCCCTTAATCGCAGTTACATTTTGTTTTTTTCGACCGAATCGGTAGACGAATCGTTAACGATCAAAGGGTTACTAATTTGTTTTCTGTCAACATCCATTCGTATCAATAAATCTATTAATAGGCTCTTGATCGATAAGCTGTTAACACTTGTCCGGTAATGGAAAGTAGCACAATGAACAATCAGATTGATTAATGAATCGATCGTATCCTTAATGATCCTTATTAAAGTGTGTCGTATAGTCGTTTTCGCTGTACCAGTCAATATGCTAAACGAACACCGTCATAATATCGTACGGATTATCTTGCACATTCGTTTCTAACGGTATCCCGCAATCTACGATCAAATGTTCTTTATACATATTTTCCAACATATTCCTCTTTTATTATTATTATCGTTTCTCATGCATTATACAGGAACGCAATTTAATCAGCTTATAAAATATC